TTATTGTATTTGTAGGTTATCTCATGGACCTTCAAGAGCCATCAACACAATTTTTCTTAGGCAAGAAATTTTTGAGTATGTGATTTTATTTCTTGAATGTCAAAAGGGTCGAAGTCACCCCATTTTAGTGTACACCATCATAATGCATATAAATGTGTGTTCAATAGTATGAAAATCATGGTTAAACATTACAATAATCATAACATCCATTATAACAAATACAAATGATGTTGAACATATACCAAATCAAGGTACATCAACCAAACCTAGAGTGAAATCAGTGAGCACCAACACTTACAGTCTAGAACATAAAATTAACCTTAAAAATATTACTGGCAGCTTCTCAATCACATGGCATGAGACTAGGAAAGCAAACAAAAGAATACATTAAACACTAAACTAAAATTCTACACAAAAATTTAATGAAACAATATCTAGGGATACAGTTACAACTACAGTAGCTAGAGCCACATAGGCGGTGTTCACCACACCCAATAACAGCCATATGGGCTGTTATCATACTGCTAGAGAGCGATGATTACCTTACAACCACATCAAGAATTTATGCTCCCCCAGTTCTGAGTTGATGTGAAACTGGGATAAGGGTTAATATTTACTTGGAATATTACATGTTTAAAGTTATAAGTGCCCACAGTCTCATTCTTTTAGCAGTGTTGCAGATAATCCTTTTACAGTTAGTTTGGTGGCCCCATGTTTACTATTTGACTATCTTGCACTGAAAGTCAAGGCATGGTCTCATGAATAAACATCACCAATGAGGTAGAAGGTGTCACTGATCAAAAATTCCTCAAATCAAAAATAGTTCATAAGTCGCAGGAGGCCGAAGGTCTCAACTGGCCAGCCTTCTGAAACTGGCAAAAAAAAAAAAAGAAGCAGGAATGGACAAAGTGACAACAAAGAGAGACAAAGGTGAAAAGCAAGATAATCAGAGAAACTTGTACAAGAAGTTGTTCACACAAGATTTTGGCCACTCACACAAGAGGCAGAGAAGGAAACCTACATACATAATAACAACCCTACAACAAAGATGTGCAGTCAGGCACAAGTCTTAGATGTAAACAGCAGGTTGAGGGGAGCGTCTACCCTAAAAATCAAAATTTTTGGCTTTTCCGGTTTTTAAGCTCATCTTAAAGCTTACTTTCTGCTGCATCAAATGGTTCTAGAACCTTCTCTGTACATTGATTTATGCATTCAGGACAGATTCCAAAAGGAGGGAAGGTGGTGGGGTCCCTTCACAAAAGTCTATGGGGATAATTACCGCCAAGCCATATAAAATGGCTATTATGGGACCTGCAGCTCAGTTATCACTCAGCCATCATGCGGAAAGGTGTTGATGTAGTCGTCCTATGCACCGTTGACTGACTTCGAAGTAAGATAACGCTTACTTCCAGTATCTAAGCTACGTTACATGCCTCTACATAGCGCGTCACAGTTTTTTGCCTCTACTGAAAAGTTGGAAATCATGAAAACCTCTCTTACAGCAAACCTATCTCCTCCTAGAGTTTTTAAGCTACAACAATGAGACCTATACCATTCGATGCAACAGAAAAAGATCTACAAATCTCTGTAGGCATTTTTCTAATTTCGTTATAGTTTGGATTATATTGGTGTGGGAGGGTGAAATCGAAAAGTTCTAAAAAAATGTACAAAAAATGCCCCCACACCCACAAAATTCAGAATTTCCAAAACGCATACAGCGTTTAATAGATATGGTCTTTACGCATCAAATGATATGTGTCTCGATGTTGTACCTTGAAAATCTTAGGAGGATTTCTACGGTAACCCCTATTTTGGCTGTTTTTAAGATTTTCACATTTTCTTTCATTTTTTTCAAAAAATTCACACAAACAAAAAAGTCTTAGATTTCTGTTTTACAAATGTTATATGGTTTAAATGCACAATTAATGTGGGCATGTAGTGACCAATCCGAGCAGTGCAATTCAGCAGCTACATAAGCCTCAACTTTATACCCAACCAAAATGTTAATACAATTCTAGTAATCTGAGAAGCCTATTTAGATCCATGTAGCCCACCAAAATTACTAGTCATCAGAGACCATGAGTAGACCACAGTAGAGTAAATATCTCAACACTCCAGTCTTGAGATTTGTCATTAACTTTTTGTAAGTATTTTTTAACCCCAATTGCCTAGGGTGCACAATAAACCAACTTATACTTTTAATAACCTCCATAAAAATAATAAAAAATCTCACAGCCTGTCTGCTGTAGTACTCTTTAACCAAGATTTATTCTTGGAGTCAGATCAATAATATTTCAACAGTTTTGATCTATAATATTTAGGTAGAGCCTTAGCAAACAATGCATAAACTTTTGAGACATGTGAACTGCTGTGTGCCGGCAGTGAAGTCGGCTCCTGTCCAATACACGATAGCAGTGTAGCTATAGAGGTGAGAGGTACTCAAGCTTGCCATAGTGCTCATGCATCTCATTTCATGTACTTTAGCAACTATGACCAATGAACACCAGACAATGAGATAAAAATTTTCTATACTATGTTTCATTTATAAAATTGAAGATGCAATATATTCCATTTTGTTTTACAAATGTTCCCTTTTAGTTTTTTTAATAATCCCACATTTCTAGAACAGTGTAAATTTGACAGCTGGCTTGTTCTCAGGCACATGCACATGTGAATTACCTTAAATTTTCTCACCATCAGTAACATCATAACAATATTGTGCAGTTGCACTAGTTGTACGGGGGAATTTCTGTGCCCAAGAGCTTAAATTTGCTCATTTCATTCTCATAATTTTTTTAAATAGTTTTAAATTCACAATTATGCATTTGAAGAGTTCATTTGATTGGAAACAATCTATATTGAGACATATTAAAATAATTGCTGAGTATATAAGCAGGAAAACAGCTAAAAAAATACTTGACAGAATGTAGGGCAGAAATCATTACACCTGAGCTTGAGTGTAACACAAAAACCAAAGGTAATTAGGATTAAAATAAGTCTACTATCTCATACACGAAGAGCAGTTAGGAATGAATACTAATGGCCACAGTTAACCCATTAATGCCGAGCGATTCCATTTGGAACCAGCGTAAAAAAATGGATTCATAATAAAATTGTATGGTCAAATCAATATACTAGTGGATGCGTAGGTTTGATACATATCTTGGACGTGTTCTGGCAAAGTTTGGTTCTGCTGCGCCGACTACTCCCTGCTCAGTTATCATTAAAAGATTGTAAGTACCGGGTGTCAGACAGAAGGGCTTGACATCATTGCAGAGAAAGGTAAGTAGTTCGTTCTAAAAATATTTATTTATAAGTTAGATGCAGAATTTTATCGACAAAGAGAGTACTTTTAATGCTGTATATGGTATTACGTGATTTCATGTTTCTAAGGTCATTTAGATCATGAAATATTTTGCCTGGTTCCAAATGGAACCGCTCGGCAGTAGTGTAAGCATTCCGGTCATATCATTTTCCCAGTAGATTACTTTGTGATATAGTTACGCATTGTATTTCAAAAACTTGTTTGTATTTAGAAATTATTTACTTAGATCTTAGATCTACAGTTTTTCTGTTATTTATTAGTGAGCTATTATCTTTAGAGCTGTTAGGAGTATATATACCGAAAGTTGATATATTTGGAATTAGGTACGTACGTAGAACACTATACGATTTTTCATCCGAGTCAATTTTTTCTAGTTGTATTTTTGGCAGATCATCACATGAAATAATTAAGATTTCGAGAGAAAAATAATACGAAGATCAAATATTTGCGACTGGACCTTTCACAGAAGCAGCAACAAACGAAACATACTGATATTCAGATAACTCAGATGACGCAGCCACTAGCAATTCTGCTCGCCTATCGAGAATAGTTATTGTAGCAACAGTAATCACCGAATGTGATAACAATGACTGTCGACAGAGAAGAAAGTCAACTGTGGTCCACATGGCCACATTATACTACAACATATACGTGGCTAGCCCGTGAGATTTAGTTATAAACTTTGGGCAGCAGATAAATCAGATGATATTTTTCTGCAATTGAAGCCAATCGGCGGATCTAATAGAAAAAGAAACTTATTCAATGGGCTGGAACATGGATTGGTCCCATAAACATGATACAATTGGTCCCAAGCCAACATATTATATGTGATATCTATTCTGGTTTCATTTGGCTTCTCAAAAAACTTAAAAAAAAGAATGGCTATTGCAATAAATTTTCAAAAATATTGGTTAGGAAATGCAATAATGCAGGAGACCCTAAGTAAAACAATCAGGGTCTATAGTGCACCCTTCAACTTCGATCCTTGATGAGGTGCAATACAACAATCAACAACATTGGCCAGCAAAGAGACTTCAGAAGCACTGCAAATGCAGTGCTTTGTAAACAATGTTGACAACGCACCTACAAACCTTCGTAAAATGGGCAACCTTCCGATTCATTTTGAATGAATGAAAGCATTCTATGCTAAAAATGGAATTGTATTCTGCCATGATCGGTTTATCATCAGTATTGTCCATAATGAATATGTATACTATTACGAATTATCCATTATGAACAATCTTGCTTGATTTACTATCGGAAAAAGTGTTGTTTGAAGAAACGTTATGTTAATGCCGAGCGGTTCCATATGGAACCAAGCTATAATTTTTCACATACAACGAAAAACAAATATATGAACATGCTTTTTGCTTATTAACGTCACAAATGATAATATTCTCACAAGGAAACGAAAAAAAATTCAGAAAATAATTCTCGTCATTAATGGGTTAAGGGCAATATCCACAGGTGCTCAAGAAAAAAACAAATATTCAAGACATTCTTACTTGATTCCTAACCAAGGTTGCTTGTAATCATATTCGTTGAAACTAGAATAATCACACTCAGAGCATCAAAAACTCTCTCCAGATGAGTGGTCTTGAAAAATATGTTTAGAAAGCCTAAGAGCTGAAATTTGCTCATTTCATTCTCATACTTTTTTTAAATAGTTTCAAATTCACAATGGTGCGTTTGAAGAGTTCATTTGATTGGAAACACTATGCTCTAGCTGTTCAGATGAATGCTTCAATAGAATATGATGTCTAAATGTCCTCTTGGTGAAATATTCATTTTGACAATCAGGACATTGGAATAATTTCCCAGCTGAATGCTTAGCAAGGATATGAAGCTGAAGTTGATACTTGAATTTGCTATGGTATTCACAGTCAGGGCACTCATGATATAATGTAGATGAATGCTGAAGATTAAGATTCTGCTTTGATGAATGCTGCTTCATGTAGGGCTTAGTGCCGGATGCTTCAGAATTGTCATTACTACCATTGATCTCTTCAGCAGCTGCAGCACGTGCACACAACTCACAACTGTCAGCAGTGCCTACAACAAGCTCTGCCAGTTCTGGCACTTCAACACTTGTAACAGAATCTTTGGCAAATCTGTCAGATGAAGAGAGGTTCTTGCCACCAGCTGAATCTTTTCTAACTTTCTTAGCTGATGATAGCCTATCAACTGAAGTTATATCTCCTGCAGTACCTTTTAGTGCAGGCTTTTCTCTACCATCAGTAGCAAATTCTGAAACTCTTCCAGCTGGAGAGAGCTTACTTATGCCAGCAGCATTCCTCTTACTAGGTTTAGGTTTAGACCGCTTACTCCTGCCAACTGAAGGTGTGAGCAAATTTCTTCTGCCATTAGCATCTGCAGTAACAACTTCAGATAATAACTTTTCATCACCATCAGCAGTGTCTTCAACAACTCTCTCATTCCCAGTCAGGTCATCACTGGCCTCAACATTTTTTGAAGATCTCTTGGATGTACAGAACTTGATTTTCCTGCCATGCTGTTTCATAGAAAAATTAATTCTAACCTACTTGAAAACAAGTTATCAAATATATCATGAAAATTTAAAATCAAAATGTCTTACTAAAAAATTTTATAAAACAATGGTTTCCATGAGCTGCAAGTCAGCAAATAATAAGGGAGACAAGGTACTTCCCAGTCAAAAAATCACACAACAAAATTGTAAGCTAACCCAGAAAATCCAAAGTTAGAAAATTTTACCTCATCATCTTCAGGAAAGACTGGTTCTTCTTTAAATGAAATGTCATCCCAATCTTCCTTAAGCTCCTCCTTGATATACACTGCACATATTTCTGGCACAGGCACAGAACAGGCAGCAGTTACTGGATAAAAAGAATATATATCAATATTATATGTACTAAAGTGAGTGCAAGTTTCTATGAAATATCTATGTAATCATGTATCTTTTCATCACAAAACCTTAGCAGACATTAATTTTGACAACAAAATATCTCAAGGGACATGAAAAAATTAATGTGAAAAAGTTAATTCAAGGCCTTGATTCGAGTGAGAAATACATATCACTTTAGTTACTGCTCCATTCAAATGAATGTGACAACAGAAGATTCCATCTTACCTTCACATTTTACTTTGACAGCAACATCATGAGCTTCAGTGATACTCTGCACAGCAGTCAAGCCTTCCGTGAGAGAAGCATATGCAGGCATATAAGTGGATAACTCCATGCTCGAGGACTCTGCATATAAGGAGACTGTGAATAGGAGTCTATGCAAACCTAAATTCTTCAGGACCAGGTTGCATTAATGTCACTGGGTGCAAACATTTGAAAGTACACTGTGATGGTGCAATAATCTCACTGTGTTGAAGTATAAAATTTCATTTTTCCCCTACACTTAACAAGTAAATCAACTTTCTAATGATATATGGTAGCAACTCTACCAAAATTTCTAAGAAAATTAGAACCTTTTACTAATGCATATGCAAAATTTCCAGGCTTGTTTAGATAGCTGTTTTTAACTAGAGAGACAAGTTATTAAAAATTTATAAGAAAAACATGTTGTAGCTGGGTGGTTATTTCAGTATTTTTCATCGCAAACCAAATCTGTTATTCATTGTTCACTCAATGTATATGTTCTAATTCAATACCAAACATTTCTCTTTATTTTTTCAGGCACAGGGGAAAATTCCAATAATTATATTATTCATGCATGTGTGTGATCAGTGACATTGTAAAGTTCTAATAGAAGCAGGCAGATTGATGTCCAATGCTCTGACGACTGCAATTGCCTTGGTGAGTGCTTGTTAGAATCCATATTGTATAAAGCTTTTAAAACCAGGTATGTTAGTGTTCATTCAGCTTAATAATTGATTTACTTTATTCATGCTGAAGAGGGCCGCAGAACATTAGCTGTATTGTATCATAGTGTATTTTCTTACTTCTAGGTCATTCCTCCTAATATCATCTGGTTTTCTCCCTTAGAAGGAGTGGTTTAAATTTGTTTGTTATCAATAATGTGTGTGTTTCTTCTGTGTTTGTTTCAGACATATATCTTTGTTATTGGCTTTACCAATACATGTGTCCAGTATTGCCAGTGAAAAACAGTCTACCTTTAACATGCACCAGCATGATCATGCTTGAACTTGTGCCTATCTGCACCTGATTGTCTATCAATGTCTGCATCCATTGCCTGAATTCCAATTTACCTTGAAGTGATTGTCAACCTAATCCTGCTTGCCAAACTGCCGATACTCTGGTTCTCCCACATACTACTGTTTCCTAAGCAACGTCAATGCTCCTTAAGGGTGAGTTGCAGTGAACTGGTAATATGATGCATTAATTTCCTGTCCTACCCATTTTCATGCTTTAACTAAATTGCACCCAATTTGGCTTATGATCTTGGTAAATCTTTGGTTGCTTTTACAGTTATTGAGTGTTTCTTCGCTTATGAGTGTTTACATTGTGACATTTGCATTACAGCATTAAGTCTTGTGTTATGCTTTGTGTTCCCTTTTGCTATACTGTATGGAGTAAGTGTCCTGCTTCTTGCTGAAGCTTAATACCCGCTTGCTAAATTTAATCTCAATCTTAACTTTATTCACTTGAAGTATGAGTCCTCTTTATTTGCCATAAAAGGCAATGGACTCAAGATTTGTATTTGTTAATTCAATAGGAGGAGTCGGTGTGGGACCCAGCTGCCAAGCTGTTGTGGAGATCTGGAGTCCCTGACTGCAAGTTCGTGACCTTCCTCTCCTGAGTACCATCACTTCACTAACCTGAACTCCTTGAAGAGTGCGGTGCTCATGCTCATATATATTGTACCAAATTGTATGATACCCTAATTGGCTACATAATTGACCATTCATATCAAGCCAACTCATTAGCCGTTTCTATGCGTTTTTCATGGTCTCCTAGTTAGGGTAGATAATTGCATAGTGTTAGGAGCCTATGCATCTTGTTGACTGCATTGATTGGGACCATGACTTGAGTGGGTGCTTGAAGTAACCTGACTTCACCAGTCCAGAGCCTTACTTTGGCTAGATAATGTCCATGTGATTAAAAAATAGTTTAGTTACATTAATGTTAGGTGGTATCTAGGTGGAATTAGTTGCTCGGCTGTCCAGGTTGTGCCAGCTGTTTATTCATGCCTCTTTGAACCTTGCCGTTCCTGACGTTCTAGATTGAACTAAACCTGGATGGTTTCAGACTAGAAGTAGTTTAAGTGTTATCTTGTTTGTTTGCGTTCAAACCAAAACTATGTTCAAATACTTGAAGTCAAGTAGTCTCATACCATTATGACTCGAGCATTGTAGACTGAAAGATTCTATGTCTAAGTAGGATAGAAGCCAAGCCTTTGTGGATGTTTAGGAACCTTAATTCATGTACCCTGTGCCATTCCCAGTATCTTTTTTTGTTCACTACAAAGCATAGTGAGTATCCTGCTGTTTCCCAGTACTCAAGGTTTCTGGTTCTCTGGCGGTGCACCTTCTGGAGTCTCTTGCGGTCAGTGACATCTCGGTATTCCAGCTACTAGATTGGTGAGTACAAAGAGGTGTGTGCCTGGGGGTGTGTGCCTGTGTATGACTGCAAAGTTGGCCAGAAGTGATCTAACGAACTTGTCTTCTGGCCATGCTCCAGGAGTGATCCTGGGACCTGGTAAAGTATCCTGCAGGTGTACTGCTCTATTCTCTGGAAATCAAGCTGATACTCACTGTTTTGTTTAACCATATTTTTCTCATTGCTCGTGTCTAGCAAACCCATGTTGTGCTGCTTACCTGGCTATGATTATCAATCTGTGTGTGGTAGGCTAGGATGCGTTTTGCAAATTTTCCAGTGGTGTAACAGCTTCACAATGTTGTAATAGTAATCTCGAATTCATGTACCATAAATTCGTTACAAGGGTTTCTCCCCTAGGGTGGCTTAGGTTATATTTTGGAAAATGCACTTTGCTGCCTGCGGATGATCCTCTACTGTCTTTGTTTAGGTTCTTAGTCTTAAGTATATGGGTGTTGGTATTCACCAGTTTTTCATTGTCACAAATTCAGTCTAATCATCAGAGTGGGATAGTCTCATGGGGTAAGGGGGCTCATATCCACATAGGTTTTGTGGAACCCCAGTTGATTGAACCGCTACAATGCTTATGTTTATACTTTGCACATACATTTATTCACTTTCTTGCAATGCTTGCTTTTAATCTAAAGAATGTTAATTACACAATAGTGAGTTGTTTATATGATTTTACTTCAATTGCTTCACTATTTCAATCTTCTAATTTCAATGCTTGCTATTTTATTAGTGAATACCAAACTATTGTCCATTTATGCATTTCACCCAATAAGTTGCAGTTATTACCACAGTTACAATCAGGGTTGGCGATTTTTTTGATTTTTTTAAAAAAATCAAAAAATCAAAAATCAATGATTTTTTTTATTTTTTCATGATTTTTTTGATTAATTTGATTTTTTTGATTTTTTCAACTTTTTTGTCTTTTTGAAGTGTTTTTTTTTTATGTTGCAATTAGCCCACTAACAATAACAGTATATGGATCATAATGGATGGCTAAAAAGGGCACTTATTGCCTTCAATATTGGCCAACAGGCCAAGGTGGTGTTTACCACTTAGGGATTTTTGGGTAAACAATTATTGGTACCTACTATGTCTATTCATTAGCTTTGTAAAGTTTGTATGGAGCAAGGTAATAAGCTAAATATTGACCATTTAACTGGCTTCAATATACAAAAACACTTCAGGAATGCAGATCTTCTAAACATTGAAGAGTCACGTAACAGGTAGCTGATAGCACAGTGCACAGCAATATCAATAGATCCACTAGTTTTATGTCCTAAAAATCTATCAGACTCTACCCTCTATACACACCGACTAGTAGTGACTGTAGCTGATAGCACAGTGCACAGCAATATCAATAGATCCACTAGTTTTATGTCCTAAATACCAATTTGTCATTTATAGTACATTTATACTAAACCATGAATAACAATACCTCAATATAAATTAAAGACTGCCACTCAATATATTTAAATATATGAAAAAATCAAAAAAATCAAAAAAAATCGAAAAAATCAAAAAAATCATGATTTTTTTATAAAAAAATCAAGTGATTTAATCACATGATTTAATCATTTTGATTTAATCACTGCCAACCCTGGTTACAATAGTGTCCATTTACCTTGCTTTACTTTAATCTCTTGAATTACTCTTGTGTGTTGATCTTATCAATTATATTCTAACTGAGCTGAAACTACCGCTTGCTGCTTGATTGTTATGTCAATGATAAGGGTTTTTGGTTTTAAGTAACTGCTGTGAGTGAGGTTCTTTTATTTGATTTTACTTTTATTGATTATATGTTTTATCTTTTACAGCCCTAATACCTCACTCATGCTCCCAATGTCTGGTTACATTTCATTCAATTCGTAACTGCATCTGTAATCACTGCCCCGTACTTTAACAATACATCCATATCCAGAAGAAAACTTTCATTCACCTAAATTGTTGCCAGAGACTAAAGAACCCGACATAAGCATTCCATAGCGCTGGCAACAATGTTTCATGCCAAAAAAAATTATGTTTGAAAATAATACGTCCCTAAAGAATTTGAGTTTCTTCTACAACCAGTCTTTTTCATTCATAATATCAAGATCTTAGTTGATTTCAGGAGCCAAAATATTAATGGGCTTAAGAGGCCCATTCAGTGACGCTCCAACTCTAAACTCAGTACACTGGGCAAAAGCAGTGTAAATTTCAGTGGCAGCGTCTGGAAGCGTAGTGACATGGCTGAAGGTTACGTCGAGGTAAACATTTTCATTACTATGTATTTAAATTCTCTCTATTTCCCAAGTTTGTGCAAAATTTCTCATCTTCACTGCAGACAGCAACTTATTTTTCACTAATAGATAAACCGTTCACTGCCAACAGGAGAAATTCAGTGCACTGCAAACAGTGTCCACCGGTCTATTCTTATCATTCAGACTGTTCATGATTATTTGCAACTACGATCATTTAGTTTCTTACTCAAATATTGGCTGGCTCAAAAATACGTTCGCACATTGAAGAAAGCCATAAAACTATAGTGTAAGTCTATAAAATGATTTAATTCCATTTCTGACATCGATCTCTTCACTTATCAAATAATTTCTAAAAAAATAATCACATGGTTACTTTGGGAGGCAGCTGAGAGCTTTCTCTTCTCTTAGCTAGCCCAAGTGAACAGAACAGAGGGGGAGGAAGGAACAGAGGGGGAGGAAGGAACAGATAAACATTTCCCCAGAACAGAGGAGGAGGAAGGAACAGATAAATAAACGGAGAATTGAGGAATTCGCCTGCTGCGCTCAACCCCACAAGGCTCAACCCAATTCCCTCCCTATCTCCCAATTGTTCTGGCATTGTCCTCTCCTACCTAAATCGTTTCGAGTGTTATTATCTCAGCCGGTTATCATTGACTCAACAACGCTGCCGAGGGATGTGGTACGGTACCGCTGTACCAAATTGTCATGGCATATACTGTGCGCTATAAAAATACCATCAAAAGTTTAGCAATAAAGACATACAAAGAATTCTATCTACAAATTATATTTTACAGTCGCATTCACGGACTTTCAAAGTCCGAGCTACGCTACCAAAGCAGAACTGCGTGTATACTCATGACAACAGCAAGCATTGTGTAACTGAGAACAACGATGGAACGGATGAGTGGGGTAGGTGAGGTGTGAGGGTTGAGGAGTGATTTAGTGCTGTAGGCTGACAGCAGTGTTAGAGTGTGGTGTGTCCCCTCGTCCCCACACCTACCTACTATAATTATTCATAACTGTATAGTTATTAGCTGCAATGTATAGTGATTGGATGCACTGTATAGTTACACGCTCTTTTGTATTCTTATATAAATTTGTTGATGGACTGACTGACGGGTATCATTCATTAACAGATATTGCAACATAGCAATGTTAACTAATTTATAATTTGTAACATTGAAATATCAACGTTATTTGAATATGTACTCATGAATTCATGAACAACACCATCGTTAATATTGCTCCCAATATTTTTACTAGTTGCAAACGGATTATTTTGTTATGATTTTTTTATTTAATTAGAAGCTCTTCCAGAAACATCAATCGCAATATTAAGTGTGAGAAATTTCAAATCATAAAATATGATAAAATATGGAGAAATGTTCAGACAGTTTGCTGATTTGATTCTCACCTCAGCCTCCATAGAAATTTGATAGGTAAGGCTATCTGCATCTCCCCTACAAGTTCACCCTCAACCCATCATCAACCCATCACAATTGTTAACAAGATTGTGTTTTGGACCTCGCAGACATTGGCAGTGTGTATGGTTGGTGGGTTGGCACTTTAAATCCTGCTCCTCTCCCCTGCTTTTCACCCCAAACAAAGAATGTCACTCTACAACATTCATCCACAATTGGAAAAAGGGGATATCAGACAAACTAGTATGTCTGTTAACAAATTCTGCAGGATTATTAGGCTGCTAAAAATTGCCACTGTCTGAAGGAAGTTCAAATATTAATTTAATTTTAATTGAACTCCACTGCATGATTAAGAAAACAAAACCCGTAGAAATTTTAAAGCAGTAGGCAATAAGTGATTAACGTTAGCCAAGTGCAGATGCACAATCACAACAGCTACTAGATCAGGCATGATGTTCATGCTTATCATAGAGCTTGAGAAACAAATCTTACGTGAACGCAACCAATGCGTGAATGACTGGCTGTGCTTACCACAGGTAAAAATTCTAGTAGGCAACTTCACACTCAAACTTAAATCTACCAAGTCATGAGCATGTGGTTGCCTTTATTTACTACTGTTTGTATGGCTGCGTGATAGAACTGATATTTTTACAATTTTGAAGCAACTCTGAGTTTTCAAACTAATAATAAACTAAGTTTTGTTCTACTAAATAAATTGATTACATTTGCTCTGATGTACTTTTTCTGGCAATTTTCCCTTCCAACATGTGCTACACCTGGGTATAAAGCATAAACATACACAAAAGTATTTCATGACTTGGATCTCTGTGACAGTGTGTGATTTTGCTGATGCATCTTAGATTTTAATGAGAAACCTCAATATTTCTTCCTGAAATTTGATCAAGCAATGCTGAAAAAGTAATCATTTGTAATTTGTTACACTACATTAACTTTGCAATTTTTTATTAAATAAGAACATTGATAGTCATAGAGTTGCTGTCTGATGGAATGGATGATACATTAGTTTGCTGTCAGAGAAACTTCCTCGATTGTTTCTTCATGGCAACAGATAAGCAATGATTTGTCACTGTATGACTTTGCTCATAAGTAGTTACTAGAGAGAAATATTTTGCAGTGAAATTTTTCAAATTTTGGTTGCCTTGTTTTGAAGAAACGTAAAGTTGAAGTTTTCAGTTCCTGAACTGTTCTCATAAAGTTTGTTATTGCCATCATTATTGGCACCATAATAACTCAGTTGCCTCCATAGTTTGAATGGATTACTATGCATCAATATAGAATTGAGACTGTGATAATGGGAGCTTGTACTAAATTTACCAAAATGCACTAACCTACTTAATATTAACTTCAATCATTGGTCTTCACATCTGCTTCCTACTGAAATTCATTTGAAAAATAGTGTCAACATTTCTATTATGTAAATTACTTGCATTCATAAAATCAATAGTTGCTTCGTTACCCAATGGTCTTTGATTATTCCATGGTTAAAATAATTTTGATTATTATTGTCCTTCCTGTCAATAATCATTCAACCTCTCAAATTGTGAAAATAATAAGGATATAAAATTAGTTTTAATTGAAAAGCTAAATAATTGACAATACTCCACACAAAATTATCAACCACCAACGAGTGACTTCCAAAGCTTTGTTAAATTATGTTGAAGAGGAGCATATTGCTCCCCTTGCTTAATCTTTGATTATTAGTTTCTTACTTTTCATTCCTGGCACTTTGGTGTATTGAGCAGTAATTATTTATCAATACTCCACACAAAATCTATCATCTGCCGGCAAGTGTTTTCCAAAGCTTTGTTAAGGGGACCGGCTACCCTCCGGAAAAACTTCTAGTTATTATCCGATCATCATGAAACTTCACATACATACGTAAAATGTAAAAACAATAACATTTTGATCCTATGAATTTTTCGAAAAAATTGATAGAAAACGTGAAATTCATAGAAAACGGCTATAAAGGGGTACTTTAGAAAATCTATCTCCTCCTACAAATATCATCCTACAACATCGAGACACATATCATTCGGTTCATAAGGACCATACCTATAGATTTGATGATCATTTTCCTTATTTTCCCCTTAGTTTTTTATGCGCGTTTTATCCCATTTGACTCATTTTTCCCCCCTCCCCCCCTTCTCCCCCATATAAAAAACGAACCAGACAGAAATTCAAAAAAATGATCATCAGTTCCATAGGTATGGTCTTTACGAATCAAATGTATATGTCTCATTGCTGTAGCTTGAAAACTGTAGGAGGAGATAGGTTTGCCATGCGACCAATCAGAGGTTTACACCACGCCCAAAAAACTGCCAGGCGGCACATAAAATGACGTAAAAGAGTCATAACATAGCAAACATACCAAAGGTAAGCCTTAAAACTAAGTGAGGAAGGCATAGAGCGAGTGGCTGCACACCTCTCACCTCGCTGTCATGATCGGCACTGAAAGATCTGGCTGCAGCTAGCAGTATATCAAGTCATGCCCCGTAATTAATGCCTTAGGAATTTGTTAAGGCCACCCCCACCGCCCCCCAGTCCATGGGGAGTGGTGAACGTAAAAATGGAGGTAGAAAGATGATTCTGCCACCAATGGAATCATCAGAAAGTAAGCTTTAAGATGAGTATGAGCACCGCATAATGCCATGATTGGCCGCTTTACGTCAGATGTTCCTTTTTAGTGTGTCCACCCTTCTAATTAACCATAGGCTTTACTGAAGGGCTCTAAAAACTCCCTCCCTTCGGGGGGCTGTTACGAAATCACTTTTGACATAGAGGGATGATTCTGGTACCGTTGGATGCATCAAAAAGTAAGCTTTAAGATGAGCACAAAAACCAGAAAACACCAAAATTGAAAATTTTAGGGTAACCAGTCCCCTTAAATTACGTTGAAGAGGAGCACATTGCTCCCCTTGCTAAATCTTAGATTATTAGTTTCTTACTTTTCATTCCTGGCACTTTGGTGTATTGATCACTTTAAGTTATGCTTCCTAATAAGGTTTGCTCTTTCCATCTAATTAAGGACTTTTGTGACCATTATCATTGATGGATGTTTCCTTCCCTTGTATTTGTTTCAGATGTTTTTTTCTATCAATAAATTACTAGTTAGAGCATGCAACTTGATGCAATGTCCGAAAAGTTCAATTGCTTCTGCCTTATCATCATATTTGAAGTGTAGCATGCACCATTTAAAGTTTCAGTTAAGTTTAGTAAGAACACCACTTATCATGCTTAGAGTGATCCTTGTCTGCACCTTATTGCTTGCCCCACCTGCACCCATTGCCTGAAGCTCATTTAAACTGGAAGTAATTGTCGACCCATTCCTGCTTGCTGAGCAACGTAGCTGCTCCTTAAGGGTGAGTTGCTAAGACTTGATCAACTCAAGAATAATAGTATACCTTTCCTTTTCAATCTCATGCACTTAATTTACTGCAATAAATCTTGCTTATTACTTTGTTACCTGTTTAATGTCACCTTGTTCCTGTTTTGAGTTGCTTTATTCACTGACCTGATTGCTTTTACATTGAATTTGAATCATTACAGCTATTAGATCTCATATCTAGTGTTTTACTTGCCATACTGTACTTTCTTTTCTTGTCTTGCTGTTGCCACGTGTCTCCCGCAGGTGAGGCAAACACGTTGCCTACTTCTACTTGATAGGTTGGCAACAACCTACTTGGGGAGTGGATAATGGATGAGACTAAACTTGATCTTTTATTATGGAAAAATAGAACAGAATTTAAATTACAGTTCAAGTAAATGTCTCTTGGTTATGATATGAACACGTGTGGTGCATAAGTGACTGGAGAATGTCGGTATATACCTTACCAGCTTAGGAGCATAGGACTAAGGAGCATGGAACTAACGTGCATAGGAGCATGGAACTAACGTGCATAGGAGCATGGAAGTAATGTGCATAAGAGCATGGAACTAACAAGAATTAGGAGCATGGACAAGAAGCATATGTGATCTGCCATAAAAGAAAGTAAAACTTGTTAATTTTATGCATCACAGCCCTATGACTATAAGATAAAGAATCGGATTAAATATGAACCAACATTAATTAACAAGCAGAAAAACAGTAATAATGAAGAACCTTAATAATGACTTCTTAGAGCAACTGTGTTGCTTATGGATGCAGAAAAAGTTATCAAGCAAACTTATATTGCAGCAAACAGCCTAATGAAGAGTTAATGAACACCAAAATATATAGCTTGCACTGTTAAAACACACTGAACACAATTAATAAAAAATCAAAAAAACAAAGCAAAATCACAAAAATATAAATCATTTGTACGTAATATAACATCAATTGAGCAATAAAATGAATATATGCAATAAACAATCACTCATTTCCTCTCAAGTGGTGAGTTAGCTTAACTTCCATACTGGTGCAGTTTTTAGTTATTCATTTGAGATTTTGCATTAGGATTATGTTTGGCTTGGAATTTACTTTACATTAAACATTTTACATCCTTGTCTGGACTAGAGAGAGAAAAAAAGGAAAAGTACATAATAAGTAACATAATGCAAAAACACAGCACAGACATCAAATAAACGAGCATGATATAGCCAAAGGGTTGGGATAAAAGGCAATACAGCTCGCCCTGCAACAATACTAGAAGCATTCATGGAACAAAAATCAGAATACAGAATAATATATTTAATTTGCTACATAGACACAGCATCTCAGGAACTGGAGGTTTGCAAAGACCCCTAGTAGGAGACTCCTACTTCCTTGCCGGATGCATAAATAACACACTTCATTTTGGAGCACCAATACATATACCTCAAATTACTCATGTTCAAGGTGATGGATATAATTAAATTAATCAAAGGACCTATTAATAGTGAAACTGAAATCAGATCAGGGTGAAGGTTCCCAAACCAAAGGGCTCACGTTATTGATAATATTTGGATTTACATGAGTATTGTTCTTATTCAGTAATTCTGCAGGAATCATGGAGGATTGGTTCAAGGTAATTTTGGTTAGTACTTTTTTGTCAAGAGGCTAAGGGTAGAATAATTAGACAAGAATTACCTTCTTCTTATTTTACCTGCAACAATTTTATGAGACATAGGCAATGGAACAATCTTGCAGCCATTCAAAGATAACACATAAGAGTTTATTGAGGAGCACACTCAGCAGATGCATTTGTTATGGATGGCCACTAAATACCCAAGAAGTATGCATTAATGGGTAGCCACTAAATATATATGTATACTGTATAGGGTGTTTGATTACTCTGATCCAGTGTTGCTAATTAATGATTTTCCTGAAACATCTGCGAGAGTACCGGTATCTATGGAGGAGCATATTGTAGACAACAGAAAGTATTGGAATTTTTCCAGATTCCTGAATTAGTACTTGGGTAATTTTGGATGTTTCTTTGTTCAAATGACTAAAGTTCAGTATAGATTAATTATTTATCAATAAAATCAATCAAGTTCATAAATCTTGACTGCAAATGATTATTTTATAGTTTATTATTGGATTTCAACTGAACCAAGAATAATTTTCAATTTAACTCATCAGAGTATCCTTCCTAAATTTGGCATTCAACTTTTCATACTGCATGTTGAGCTACATGCCAAGAAAGATGGCAAATAATGTTGTATTTAACTGATCACAAATGAATGAAGATGACAAACAAGATGGCTCCTTTAATATTTGATGAACTCAGTACAAGAGGTGTGCTAGTGAAACAAGTTAATACACAAGTTTAGCTGCAACTTCCAACTCAAAGGCAAC